CCCCCCCCCCCCCCCCCCCCCCGGTCATCTGTGTGTGGGTGTTTGTGTTTGTTTCCTCCCTGACGGATCCCTGAACAACTCTGCCCGCCCGGCACACAGAGGAAGCTACGCTGGGATATGTGAGGAACGCATTCCCGGTCCCGTTTGGCCTGGCCTTTTGGCTTGCTTTGATTGCTAAATTGTGTGAGCTTTTGCTGGGCCCCAGCCTGCATGTTCAGGAGGCCATGGAGTGGTCAGACAACACCTCCCAGCCCACTTTGGCCCAAAGACAAATCGATGCTTTCTGCTCGGGGGTTTGAGGCCCAGGGAGGAGCCCGGAGATCCCTTGGTAGTGGAGAACCCCAAATCAGCAGGAGAGAATACCAGAGATGCCCTTGGCCTTCCTTAGCTCTCTCGGGGGCCAACGTTCCTTAGGAGTCGGGAGCTAGAGAAGTGGGGATATTAAGCCCCAAAGCAGAAAAGGGCTGCCAGCAAGTCCTCCTTTCCCTCTGCGGGTTTCTTCCCCTTCCATCAGCTTTGGCCGGGAAGTCTTAAACCAGCAGAGCAACCCTTGCCCAGGGGAAATGTCGCATGTCGCCTGGATTGCCAGGGGATCGTGGATGCCCCTTTCCTGGAATAAAAAGCAGGTGTTTTGGGAACCGTCCACAGCAGTATCCAGCAAATCACAGCTGGAAACAAGATTCTGGCCCAGCGACCTCTCCGGTCTCACGGTGCCGCTCCCGTGCGGGGTTCGCTCTGTGCAGCTCAGCACCGCTTGGCAGGATAGGCTTGTTGGCAGACCCGTGGGCCGAGCTGGAGGTTTCATGTGGGGCGCCAAGACGGGGCAGGGCCCTTCCTCTGATGGACGTCTCTCTGCCTTTCAGATGGCACGGCGGGAAGGCCACTTCGCATTGGCATCCTGTGCCAGTGGCTGATAAAGCCGTCTTGCAGGCTGGGCCCAGGCGAGGGGTGGGTGCAAGTGAGGATCATGCTTGGCCGTACTCACCCAGCGCCCGACTCGGGTTTCTCTTTCTGCACAGGTGCCCCGCTGCTGTGCAGCCCTGCGGGCATGCTGGACAGGGGCCGATAACAGGGGGGGTCTGCAAACGTATGTCGTGCCATGCTCTTGTCCGCAGCAATTGAAAACGGGGGTATCGGAAGACATACCCCCCACCCCCAACACACACACACCAGTTGTTGCTGTTCTGAACAACACTGGGCACTGCACCCCACTTCCTGCATCCAGATTTTGCCCCCGGCCAAGCAGCCCTGTCACTTGCGTAAAGTAGCATCCAAGCTGCCAGTCCCTGTTGTTTTATGGCAGCCAAGAGGTCCTGCCACGCTCTTCCAAAAACTTCAGGGAAACCCGCAGTGGATAGGCTGTGGTGAAAAGGCCCGTGTGGAGTGAGAGGATGTGGAGGTACAACTCAGAGGTAGCAGAAGCAATATTAAAACTAGATCAAGCTAGATAGTCTGTGTGTTGCCACCGGCTACCTAAGAAGTGAAGGCAACACTGCTTGGGGCTAAATCGCCATTAGGACAACAACCTATTTGCGTGTGTATTTGTATCTGTGCACAGTAGCTGTGGGGAAATCTGATTGGGGCCACGGCTTGGGGTGGGGGAGCCTTTTAACTCCTTTCTCCCCCCCCCAGCTGTGCCCCCAAAAAATCACCCACCAAAAAACAGCTGTGTGCCCAGGCAGGGTAGCTGCAGCTGGCTTTGACAGCCATTTTCAGCTGTGACCAGTCTCTTGGCGGGAGGATTTTGCTGGGACAAAGGCATGTGTTGTGGCAGGCAGTGAAAGCGGTCCCTCCACCCACGTTCTTCACGGTTGCTCTCTAAAAACATGCAAAAGCAGAATGCATGCCATGCACTGTGAAGTTTGGCCCCCGGTTGCTTTTTTCTGGTGCGGCAGAGGGGAAACCAAAATGAATGCAGGGGCCCAGACTTCCAAGGGTCCCTCTCCCCCTTGATGCCCCACAGCTGACCCACAGACCTGCTGGTGCTCCGGCCCCTCTGCTTGGTCGGCTCGTGTTCTTTGCTCGCATTCAATAACTCTTCGTTAAAATACTGTGCACAAAAGCAGGTGCGCCTGATTGTTAAAAAGCAGCAATAATGTGGGCCCGGTGCCAACCAACAGTGGAACGGCAGACCTGTTTCCAGACAGGTAGGGGCTCCCACCTTTGGACAAAAGCACATCAGTGTCTCTGCACAGACGACTCGGGAAGAAGGCGCATGAGGTTTTCTGTAGCAGAGAATGCTTGGGCTCGGATCTGCACAAACGGAGATGCAGAGAGCTGGCCAAACAGACTTCTGCAGCCCAGGTGCGTCCCAGGTGCGTCGGACTGCGTCTTGAGAGGCAGTGATGGGAAATGGAGTCCAACCCACCAGGGAGGTTCCCAGGGTGGGGAAGGCTGTGGCCAGAGGGCCAGTGTTGCAGCCGCGGGGCAGGTCCACGCCATCTTCCTGAGTCTGGGCAACTGCCTCCTTTTGGTTTGCTTGTGGTGACGTCTGTGCTTTCACGCATGCTCTTTCTAAAACCAGTGTCCATCTTCTGAGAAGCCGGGCACTGTTCGTTTGGCGCTTGTTTTTCTTTTTTCCTGCCTTCCTCTTTCACTTGTCCTGAATTCGCTTTCACCTGTGCAATTTCCGAGAGTGTATTGTCCATCTGAACCAACCACCGGGAGAAACCTGGCACCCCATACTAGGAGGGCAATCCACCCTCCGCTGGAGCACCACACCTTCCCCATCCATGTTTGATGACGTTCAAACCATCCCGTCATTGGGCAGTTTCCGAATGCTGCTGGGCCACAAGAAATTAGTTGAATTCATTCATGGGTTCGTTAGGCTTAATTCGCCCAAAGAACCCCAAGGAAGCGCCTGGCACACCCCCGGCCCTATTCTGACCTTAATCCCCCCTCCCCATGGCTCTGTCCAGGAGATCTCACTGCCCGCCTCCCCATGGGTTCCCTCGAAGGCTCTGGGTGTCTTGGGAGCTTGGTGGACCCATCTGCCCCCGAACATGTGGGTGGAACGGCCCAGGAGCCTTCATCCCCGCTCTCCCTCATGCAGTTCTGAGGGGGGGGGGCAGTTTAAGAGGCCCATCTTGCATCTGCATCCTCCTGAGCAGGCTGGGGAAGGATCCCTGCACAGAGGCAGGAGGGGAGACCCCCCCCCCACCCATGGTTCCTCCCCGGGAAGTCTTCGCCCACGGCCAGAAGTCGGTGTGGTTTGTTCAGATGAGAACAGCGATGCGCTCTTGGGGGTGTTTCCTCTTTGGTGGCGGGGAGGGGACGGCGGTCGCTGGCAAGCAGTTAACGTGTCTCAAATCTCCCCCTGGTCACTAGGGCAGCGCTGGCCTCCGCCCACCAGTGCCACCCCCTCCCCAAGACCCTCAGCGTGCTGAAGAACACCCCCCAGGTCCGGGGCATGCACACCATCATCCGGTGAGTCCACCGCCACAGCCCTCCCCTGCGTCTTGCCTTCTCCCCCTCCTGGGCTGGGATGTAGGAAAACGGTTGCTCTGCCTGTTAATTGCATTTATATTTTGCCCTTTTATTTCTTGCAAGGGGCCCAAGGCAGCTTACATATATATTTATTAGATTTATACCTGCCCTTTTTCTTTTTTAAAGAATTCAGGGCAGCTTGCAACATTCTCCGCCTGCTGTTCTCAGTCTTACCCCACAACAACAGCCCTGTAAGGTAGGCTGGGCTGAGAGTCTGTCACTGGCCCAGAGTCCCCAAGTTGGCTCCATGACTGAGCAGGGGCTGGAACCCAGATCGCCTGAGCCTCAGACCTATACTCTTAATCAATACACCACATATAATCCTCCTCTCCATTTTATTTATTTTATGTTTGTTTAAAACTTATTTAGACTGTCACTAGAGCTGGGGGCTCACCAAATCCATCCCAGCTGATGTGGCAGCGGCAGAAGCTCCAGAGGGACTTGGGCCGAAATGGGGGTGCCACAGAAGTAGGGGGACTCCGCTGGTCCTGGAGTGAGCAGCCAAGTCCCCTTCTCTGTAGATAAACAGCACAGATCTCCATCCCTCTCTGTGAACGGAGGAGGGCAGCAAAGGGGTGCAGGACAGTGACTTCAGTGGTAGTGGCCCCTAGCCACTGGTGTCACCCGGCGGGTGGTGGGCCCCACCATGTGCTCCAAAAGCAATCCACCTTAAAGGATCGAACGCCAGAAGTGCAGCGCATGCTTTGGATTCAGGAAGCCTCAGACCCCATCCCTGGTGTGAGGAGACGCTCATTCTTCTTCAGGACCACAGCGCCACGCTGCCTTCTCTCAGCCACACAACAGACCAGGCCGTCCACGTCTCCATGCAGGGCGCTGATTCTTCTCCCCTGCTGCTCTTCCCTTTTAGGGACAAAGAGACGAGCCGGGATGAGTTCATCTTCTACTCCAAGCGGCTGATGCGCCTTCTGATTGAACATGCCTTGTCCTTTCTGCCTTTTCAGGTAGGTTGTTAATCATTCCCATCTCTTCAGGCGATTTTCATGGACTGTTGTGACAGGGCTGCAAAGGGGGTTAGGAACACAGAAGATAGAAACAGAGCTGTTCCGAAGGGGTCTCCCAGGCCATCTAGTCTGACCCCCGGCTCCAGCCGGCTCCGCTCATGACATGCGCACCATGGGCATGTCCAGCCTGTCCTTGAACACCCGCACCGATGGGGCCTCAGCCACCTCCCGTGGAAGCCCATTCCACGCCCTCGGGGTCCTGACTGTCAGGAAGTGCTTCCTGGCATCTAAATGGAACCTGGGTTCCCTGAGCTTTGCTGTGTTGGAACGCATCCTGCCTTCCTCTGCAGGGGAGAACAAGTCTCGACCCACCTCCGTGTGGCACCCTCTCACATACCTGTATGTCGCCAACATATCCCCTCAGAGTCTCCTCTTCTCCAGGCTGAAGAGACCCAGTTCCCTCCGTCTTGCCTCATACGGCATCCTCTGCAAACCGGCCACCAACCTTGTGGCCCTACGCTGCACTGACTCTACCCTGGCTAAATCCTTCCTGTAATGAGGGGCCCAAAACTTCAATTTCAAAGGATTCCTTTGTGTTTCCTGATTGTCCCGGATTGTTTATAGTACCTGGATAAGAAGCATTGCCCTCACTCTCAATAGACTTTGTTTGCCCTTAGTCGCGTTAGCAAACAGCCCTCTCTGATTGGTTTGGTAATGTCAGGTGATCACATCCAGTATGTAGTCCCTGATTGGTTGGGATGACTTGAAGAGTGAAATGCAGGGCAAGCAGCCTGCGGCTTGGTGGGCTTGCAGGTGGCTGGAACAGCAGCAAATGGCTCTGGAAAAGGCCAGTGCAGTGGCTTTTGGGGGACAAGGCTCAGCCCACCTGGAACAGTTGATCACAGCTCATTGGGAAGGCTGGCTGGGGGTGATGGCAGTTGTAGTCCGACAGATCTAGAGGCCATCACGCTGGGGAAAACAGCTACGTATACTCTGGGACTCTGGAGATCTGGGTTCTAGTCCCAACTCAGACATGGAGCTCACCGGGTGTCTTTTGGTGAGGCCTAGACGTTCAGAGTGACCTACCTCACAGGGTTGTTTTTGTGAGGATAAATGCAGAGGCAGAGACCCTTGGGTTCCTTGCAAGGGGAGGAAAGGCAGGCAACAACATCCAAGTTTTTGCCCCCTCAAAATGAGACATTTCCCATCAGCCAGGAGCAGGTGCAGTATCGCCCTGTCCCGGTTTGGGGCTTCCCCCTTCTCTGTCTCTGCGTCCTCCATCTTTTGTTCAAATGCCTTCCTAATTCTCATGCCTCTTTTCTGTCTGCCCCTTTCCAGAGCTGCACAGTACAGACCCCGCAGGGCCAGGACTACGAAGGTCAGGCTTACAGTGGGAAGCAAGTAAGTCCAACCAGCCAGGCTCCCCAAAGCATGTTTTGGACAAATGGGCCAAGTTTTGCAGAGCGGATGCAGCCTTGCATGGCATCAGTGGGCGAAACTGAGCACTGTGGCAGCCACTGAAAGAACCTGATTTTAGCACAGCTCTGAATCGTTAAGTGAGCAATGTGTGCACCTTGTTTTACAAATGGGGTGATGATTGCAAACCATCTGCCTGTTCCGAATTCAGATGTTACATGCAAATCAGACACAACAAAACCAGTCCCCTGGAAGCAAGCTGTTGTGGCGAGCAAACATGCAAAATAACGAAGGCTTTGTTTTGGCTCTTAAAAGCCAGCCAAGTTGGTTACTGGCAAACCTCTGTAGGTAAACCGTTCAGGGGCCATCACAGCTAAAGCCCTGTTAAACCCTTCAAGCCATTGTAAGCTGGGATTCTTAAGAGATAATAACAGAGGGAATGCACGCCACTTCAAAATTTTTGGAAGTAAAAATTATGCTTTGACTCACACGCACACATACGGATTTTGTGTACAGTGTGTGATCCGTCACTATCTTACAGATGTGTCTTTGAAATGGCTTTCTCACCACCTCACTTTTCTGACCTTTATCTCTGTATTTAGGTGAGTCTAAGAGGCGTGCATGTCGTAGGGGGTGGGTTATGATGAGCAGGTTCTTTTCAGTCGTACCAGATTCAGTCTGAACACACCCAAAATGGAAAGAACAGCCCCGGTTTCCACAGAAAAGGGAAAGTCCAAGCGTGGTGCACAGAGACTAAAGGAAACTTCCCCACCACAGTGTCCTCCAAATTTCTTTTGAAAATACAGCTCCTATAATCCTGGATTGTTGGTTTGCTGGCTGGGGATGAGGGGAGGGGTAATCCAGGGAGCAGCAAGAAGGGAAGGCGTTTACATGTCAAAAAACAAAAGAAGAAAATAGTTCTCAGGCAGCTGACTTTTTTTTAAATTCTGCCCAATGCACAAAAGATACTTCAGAAAGATCTTTCTTTCTTCAGAAACTTCAGTTAAAATTCCAACAGAAAGTATTATTAATATTTTATAATGCTCCCAAGATACTCAAGATATATGAGAAGTTACATTAACTAACGTTGCTCACTGAATGCACAGGATTTGTTGAAAATCCAGCCATATTTACAGATTTTAGGAGTGTTTTAGGCCTGTAAGGGTAAAGTTCAATGCACATTTAGACAGAAAACATGACCAGCTGGGAAGTGTAGGCCTTTTTCTTTCTGAATTTGCACAGAATTGTGTCCTTAATAATGTTTTGCAGTGATGTACTGGTTTTATTTCAGGTTGTTTGATAAACAGCCTTTCAGGCACTTGAGAATTTATTTTCTCTTATGTGGGATTACATTTCCCAAAACAAAATCAGAAAAGAAGAATGACTCTGTGGGATCAGGGCTGTCCACTCCTTAACCATTTTTCTAACTGATTAATTGCCTGACTTACTTTAGCAAAGCTTAATTAACCAATTAACTGTGTCTACAGTGGGTGACATCTCAATAAAGGCTCCTTTTTCTAGGACGCTGAAGCAAACCTTGTGATCCAAGGACAACTGAGAGATGAGCTTCCTTTGGGCTCTCTTGATGGTTGTTTGTGTTAGCATGCGTTTGATTTTGGTTTTTAACTTTTCCTTGAGACTGTTTGAAAAGGGCTTAAATTTCAGGTATTGTGAAGGAAAATGCAAAGAAAAGAAAAACTTTATGGGCAAAGCAAATGCTAGGAAGCAGGGGACTGGAGTTTCCCCTGCCACCCAGCTCCATTTAGAGGTCAGATTCAACTGCAAATTCCAGGCTCCCCAGCAAGAAATAACCTTCTTGCGCCAATTCAGGGGCACTACTTCCACCTAATGAGAGAAGGAGGGGGCTTTCCTGTCTCTGGCAAGCCCCTCTACCCCCAATTTCAGTTGCTCCACTCCTTCTCAGGGTATTTATTTATTTATTTATTTATTTATTTATTTATTTATTTATTTAAAACATTTTTATGCTGCCCCCATCGCAACGAAGCCTCGGGCAGCTCACGACAGAAACAAGGTGGAAGGCTTCTCTGGCAGAAAAGGAAAGGGAACTGGCAATTGTTTGCGTCACGGATGAATCCCATTTTAGCTGGGGATTTTTGCTCCCCAACAGGAAATTGACCAGACAAAAGCATTCCAGTGAGTCTACAGAATTTAACCTGTCGTCTACACAAGACAGACCAAGTCAGTTGGAGTTCATAAAGGACCCAATGATAATCCTTGACCTGCTGAGTCAGTTCTTTTTTAATCTTCTCTCTCTCTCTCTCTCTCTCTCTCTCTCTCTCTCTCTCTCTCTCTCTCTCTCTCTCTCTCTCTTTATTTATTTATTTAAAACATTTCTATGCCACCCCATCGCAATAAACCCTCGGGGCGGCTCACAAAACATCAATAAATAACAATACAATAAAACCCCAGTGCAATAAAACCTCAGTGCATTCTCGGCTAAAAATTAAAAAACAAACAAACCCCTAGTTAAATAAATAAATTAACAATTAAAATAAGTTTTAAATAAAAAGGTCTTAGCCTAAATGTGATTTCCCTGGTGACGGTTTGTCTCCGGCATCGGGGACAGGGCGCATCCCCACAGCCTGAAAGCAGGAGTGATGGGAGAGAAGCAGACGGCGCTTGCGGAACAGGCGGGGGTGCGGGTTCCAGTTTGCGGCTTGTCTTCCAGATTACTGGCGTGTCCATTTTGCGGGCCGGGGAGACCATGGAGCCTGCGCTGCGTGCCGTCTGCAAAGACGTCCGGATTGGCACCATCCTTATCCAGACGAACCGCTACACGGGCGAGCCAGAGGTGGGGAAGCCTGGCCGGGGCGGCACACGCGTTTGGGGCCCTTCACCAGCTCGGGAGAGATACCCCAAATGCTGCCCAGTCGCTCTGACCCTGTGCCCTTCCGTGGCAGACACGGTTTCTGAGACGGAGGGTGGGATGCGAACAGATGCATTTGCGTTGTTGCCAGAGGCCGAGCAGGGCTGGGGAGAGGCATGGGCCAGTCAGGGGGGCCCAACCTTCCCCAGGCGAAGTGCGTACAGGAAAGGCCAAAATCCGAGCCAAACAAATCAGAGGGGCCCAGTGCGGTTTAATGGGTACTGAATGATCCGGGCCGTTTCCTGGCCCTATTCCTGGTCCTCCATTTCCGCGGAGAAGGCGGCTTCCTTGTGATGGGATTGTGAGGAGTGGGCAGGGCAGCTTCGAGGGGCCGGTTCGCTCCCCGCCGGCCATTCCGAACGAGCCGTTTCCTCCTCTGTGCCTCCCCCAGCTACACTACCTGCGGCTTCCCAAGGACATCAGCGAAGATCACGTGATCCTGATGGACTGCACGGTCTCCACGGGAGCGGCGGCCATGATGGCCGTGCGGGTGCTGCTGGTAAGGGCAGAGAAGAGTGCCCCCCTCTCCTCCCCGACTGCAGGAGTCGAGCGAAGCCTCGGCAGGGAACGGGCTCGGCTGGAAAGCCGGGGAGGACCCGCCCCCGTTTTCCCCACTAAACCAGGGACTGTGTGGGGACCTGGAGAGGGTCCCCGTCAGGACAAGAAGACAGGCAGGGCCATATGTGGGGCTTCTCCGGGCCTCCAAACAGAGCTGGCTGCCTGTCAGTCCCGCCCAGCCCTGTCCTCCAGGGGTGCTTTAAGCTAAAATCTGCAGGCGTTTCGATGCTGTGAACGGCGAGGCAGCTGTTCTTGGCGTGTGTTCCAAGGTGGGATTGCACAGGCTCTGGGTGGGGACGGTGACAGCTGGGAAACGGGGAGTGTGGGACTTGAGTGTGGGCGGAGGAGGGAGGGCCCGTCCTGGGACGGTCACCCCCAGGTGCTCGGACAGGCGATGGGAACAGACGGAGCTTGGAAAAGAGGGAGGGGACGAAGAGGAGGAAGCCAGCCCTTGGCCTGCCGTGACGGACCGTGGGGATGGGTGGCTACCCGGTTATTGGGCTCGCAGAGACCAAAGAGGTTAGCCTTTCTTTGGCAGGCCCACCCAGAGGGGTGGAACCCGGCATTGCTGAAAAGGAGGGTTTGGGGAGATCGCTTCTGGTTTGGGTTCCACAGAGCACTGTGTATGCTCAGAGGCTAGTCTTCCAGGGGGTGTAGCCTGCTAGTTGTGAACTGAGCTATTTTGCAAAGAAACTATCTGTTGTTTTGAAACAAATAAGGGGGAAACTTGCTCCTTCTGCCTTTCATGTTTATTAGCCAATGTTGGTATGATTTAAGGTGCTTCAGTCGATTTATACCGCTCTTTGGGATTGTTTTATGCTAAAAACCGGTAATAAAGAGGAAATAAAATGAATAAGCAAAAGGCCATGTCAGGGCCGAACAAGACGCTGAAATTCCCTTCCTTCTCTTAGGACCACGATGTCCCCGAGGATAAAATCTTTCTTTTGTCGCTGTTGATGGCTGAGATGGGGGTCCACTCTGTGGCTTACGCCTTCCCGCAAGTGAAGATCATCACCACGGCGGTGGACAAGAAAGTGAATGACCTCTTCCGTATTATCCCGGGCATCGGTGAGTGACCTGGCTTAGAAGGCCTGACCAGCAGGTGCTGGCGAAGCACTGAAGGGTCTGCAGTGCCCGGTCCCTGGGGAAGGTTGCGCTTGTGTGACCGCTGGTGTTACTTGCTCACGCACAGTTCCTGAACGTTATTTTGCATTGCATTGACCCAGGTACTAGGGACTTGTTTGCTTGTGCTGAGCTACGCATAAATCTTGGTTTCCTCCGGACATGCCATTGTTCTAGATGCAGGCAGCTTTATCTGGGCTAAGTGTTCAAGAGCCAAGAGCACGAGACTGGGATGCAAGCACTCTGGGTTCCAGTCCCCGCTCAGCCATGGGGCCGACTGGGTGTCACAGACGCTCAGCCCAACCTCCCTCACGGGGTTGTTGTCATGAGGATAAGATGGAAAACAGTGGAGGAGAATGATGTAAGCCACTTTGAGCTTGTAAGGGGGGAAAAGCGGGATATAAATCTAATAAAAATAAATAAAGACCATCCCAAAGCTGGTTTTACCCAGGAAACACTACTTGTTAGATGCTGCTACATGAATCCACTAGCTGCAAGGTTACAAACCTGGCTGAAGGATCTTAGCATTTTTTCTGGTGAGGGAAAACACAGTAGCTTTTGCCAAGAATTGGGTACTCACCATGCAGTATCTTCCTGCAAATGCCTCACTCAGCTTCCTCACGGCCTGCCTCCTGCTCCCTTCTAGGAAATTTTGGGGACCGTTACTTTGGCACAGATGCGCCTCCTGACTGGAGCGATGAGGAAGACATCCTGGACTCGTAGCAAACTCCTCTTTCTAAAGGAACCACTGTGAAGGAAGAGCAGCCCCTGCACCCTCACTGGACCCTCTTCTTCAAGCAGTGCCCAAACATTTGCAAAAGCATGTTTGGCCTGCGGCCTAGCTGTTTTTCCTTAGGCATCTTGCATCGGAGACAGAAAACATATTTTTTAGGGAATGGGGAGGGAGCGGGGAAGGAACCTCACTGTCCTTTTATGTGTTCATGAGTGTTTCTGAGTCTAGAGGCAGTTTATTTTAATTTAAAAGATGGAATATAACTTATTTTATTAAACATAATGTTTTGGCTAAGTCTCAAGTATGTGACAATTCATGCCAATCTTGCCTAACCCAGTTGTGCATCCGGCTTCCAGTAAAGTACCACATTTTCACCAGCTGAAGCTGTACAAAGCCACAGAAATTTCTGTGGCAGGATGAGTGCCTTTTTTAATGCCAGTGGCAGAAAACTAGGACGTGACTTGGACCACAATTTCTTTAAAATTTCTGCTTCAGTTTGGAAAGAAACTGCAGAGTTTCTAGTTGTCATGAAAATGTATGCTGTGTTTTGCGAAGCTATTGGTCATCTGGGCAAAATGTCCATGAACCAGCAGGGCTACAAAGCCTATATGTATATATAATCAAGATTCAAAAGCTTTGATTTGAAGATTGTTACCCTGGTTGCTGTTTTCCTATTGTTTTTCTGAGATCACCCGTGCACACACCCATCCCGCCCACACGGAGAAGCCTTCTCGCTTTCTGCATGGTGTGCAAACTATTTTTCGAGACACTCCTTTGCATGGTGACATGTTTGCTGTGCTTTGCAGGCCATTCTGGAGCGTGTTCTGCAGAGGGGTGGACCGCGGGCTTGGACTGGATCGGCTTTATCTACTGCCAGGAACGTAAGAGCATAAGCAAGGCCATGCTGGATCAAGCCCAGGGTCCGTCCAGCCCAGCACTCTGTGCTCAGAGCAGCAACCCAGCTGCCCCAGGATCCCTCCAGCAGGATGGGGGCAAGACCCCCTCCTGCCCAAGCCCCTCAGCAGCTGGCGTGTGCAGGCAGGCCGCCTCTGGTGAAGGAGGGAGCACGTGGCCAGCAAGGCTAGTGGCCACAGAGATCCTCCTCTTCCATGATAAGTCCAGTCCCCTTTTAAAGCCATCTAGACTGGCAGCCAACACCACTTCCTGTGGCAGCGAATTCCATAGTTTAACTGTACATTGTGTGTAGAACTTTTCCTTTCCTAACCACCCCCCCGCAATCTGCTTCATGGAATCACCCTGCATTCAAGCGTTATGTCTCCCTCTCCACTCTTCCCATGCCACGCATCATTTTGAACACCTCTCCTGCCCCCCACCCTCAAACTCCATCCGCTGGGCACTGCTGCAAAACCACGATGGAGCTGAGATAGACTTACTTACTTATTACTTATTTAGAGCATGTGTATGCTGTCCCATCGCATAGCCTCGGGACAGCTTACATAAATAAAATAAAACATGTTGTTGTTGTTAGTCGCAAAGTCGTGTCCAACCCATCGAGACCCCATGGACAACATTCCTCCAGGCCTTCCTGTCCCCCACCATCCCCCAGAGCCCGCCCAAGCTCACGCCGACTGCTTCAGTGACCCCATCCAGCCACCTCATCCTCTGCCATCCTCTTCTTCTTTTGCCATTTATTGTTCCCAGCATCAGGCTCTTCTCCAGTGAGTCCTTCCTTCTCATGAGGTGGCCAAAGTATTTGAGTTTCATCTTCAGTTTTTGGCCTTCTAAAGAGCTGTCAGGGTTGATCTCCTCTAGGACTGACCGGTTTGATCGTCTTGCAGTCCAAGGGACTCACAGGAGTCTCCTCCAGCACCACAGTTCAAAGGCCTCAGTTCTTCGGTGCTCAGCCTTCCTTATGGTCCAGCTTTCACAGCCATACATTGCAACTGGGAAAACCATAGCCTTGACTATACGCACTTTTGTTGGCAGGGTGATGTCTCTGCTTTTTAGTATGCTGTCTAGATTTGCCATAGCTTTCCTCCCCAGGAGCAAGCATCTTTTAATTTCTTGGCTGCAGTCCCCATCTGCCTTATCATGGCGAAGGGGTTTTGCGTAGCTCAATGAAGCTATGAGCCATGCCATGCAGGGTCACCCAAGACGGACAGGTCATAGCAGAGAGCTCTGACAAAACGTGATCCACTGGAGAAGGAAATGGCAACCCAGTCCAGTATCTTTGCTGTGAAAACCCCATGGACAGTACCAAAATAAAACATAATACAGATAAAATCCAGATTCTCCCTGGCTGCATATTAAAACCTATAAACTGATATTAAAAGTTATTAAAATATCATTGAAATAAAAAGGTCTTAGCCTGGTGCTGAAAAACAAATAACGACGGCGCCAGGCGGACCTCATTCCATAGGTGGGGCGCCACCGCTGAGAAAGCCCTCCTCCGGGTACTTTGCCTCCTAATGTCTTTCTCGGAGGGTTCCCACATCAGTGCATCAGCAGCTGGTTTCACACGCTTGCCAGGGAAAGGAAGCCCACGTACCTTCGTTTCCCTGCACGAGCTGGTAATGGACTGCGCGATTAGTCCGATTTCTCTGAGCCGGCCAGGGCACGGCAGGGCTGGCTTCCAAGCCATGGCTTCCTTTTGGCGTCTGGGGTGGGTTGGAAGCCAGCCCTTGCGACACAGTTCCCCGATGCGGCAAGCCCTGCGCCGGGAAGGCGGGCGGGCACATTGCATGGCACATGAGGGAAGACAGAAAGGAAGCCGTGGCAGCATCTTGTCCTTGGTGATTGTGTGACCCTGACCAGTGTCTCTGAGCTCCAGGAATCGGTTTCCTGCACCAGAGCTGGCTTCACAAGCCCTTTCACGCAAAACGCCACTCCTGGTTTTACCATGAGCATCATTTGCAGCAAATGCAGTGGAGAAGAGCAGGGATGCTTGTCAGCATGAGTTGATCAGGAGTCAGAAACCCTGGGAAACCTCTGTTAGCATCTACCAGCGGATTCTGATGTCACCTTTACCCCCCTGCTACGTTCTTGCAAGATGCTGTAGGGAGCAGGTGGGTTAAAAAGTTTGCAGATGTTCGTGAGATCAAGTCCCAGCATTCCTGGCCCCTGGCCACGCTGCTGGGGCTTCTGGGACCCAAGTCCAAAACATCTGGAGAGGTACCATCTGTAGGGCTGCAGCATTCCCACGGGGATGCACATTTTATTTATTTATTTATTTATTAAGACATTTATATGCCGCCCCATTTGCCGAAGCCTCGGGGCGGCTCATTACCAAGGAAGGCTGATTATGTTCTTAGCCCTCTGCCCCTCTGTGCCTGCTGATCTCTGCATGGGAGCTACTTGATAAGCTTGAAAGACCCCCAGGGTTCCTGGGGACCGTCTGCAGCAACCTGTGGACGTGGCCATTTTATCCTGCAAGATGAGGGGTGAGTTGAGAGCATATGGGCTTGCCTGCGACAGTTGTCCCCCCCTTAGCCCACCTCAAATTCTCGGATAATGCTGGATGCAGGGACAGGAAGAGGCTTCCCATCTGGTTAAAAAATTGCGGTGTTGCATTTATAGCCTGCCTTTTCCCCCTTTAAAGAAACCCGAGGTGGCTTCCGTAGTCCTTCCTTGTCTCTACATTATCTGAGGTCAGGCTGAGAGGCAGTGTCTGGCCCAAGTCACCCAGTGAACATCACTGAGGACTAGAGCCTTGATTGCCAAAGGCCCAGTCAAGCACTCTAATCACTACCCCACCCAAAAAGTCTTCTGATCCATGTGCTGCCCCTCTACCTGCACCATGAGCAAGCCAGCTGTAGCCTTCTGGGTTGGGGGGGGGGTGGTTGCTTGAATTGCTAAATGTTGTTCTGACTTGGACGCATATAAGTAACTTGGCATCCTGTTGAAAAAATCTGCTGAATTGCATTGCAAGTAGAGAAAGAAACTATCCTGGAGTATATGCAAAAATGTGGAAATACTTTTTTCATCAAGGTATGTTGGGGAGGAAATGTGTTTCTGACTGGTTCTCCAAAGTTTCCCGTTGCTGCCACAGCTGGTCGAGCAAATGCGTAGCGTGCCTTTCCACTGAGCGGTGGTCCAGGCATCTCACAGCAGCAGTAAAATGCCAAGAAAAATACGATGTAATGATAATAAGAAGAAGGTTGGGGTTGCTTAAGAGCACAGGAAGAACCTTGCTAGGATGTCCATCGAACCCTGTCTGTCTGTCTGTCTGTCTGTCTATTTATTTATTTAAAGTTTTTATATGCTGTCCCCATTGCTACACAGCCTCGGGATGGCTCACAACACACATAAATAAAACAAATAGAATTACAATTACAATTAAAACTTGGAAACACACTGGCTGCATAATTAAAACTATAAATATTAAAGATTATTAAAATACTGTTTGAATAAAAAGGTCTTGGCCTGGCGCCGAAAAACAAATAACGACGGCGTCAGGTAGACCTCTCTGGGGAGCGCATTCCACAGATGGGGCGCCACCACAGAGAAGGCCTTCCTCCGTGTCTTCTGGCCACAGGATCCCACAAGCGGTTCAGGAGTGCAGCACCACCCTCAAGCCCATGTTCCCCAGCGACTGGTGCCCCCAGGCATACTGCTGCTGATACTGGGGACAGCCTCTAGCCATCAGGCCTCGTAGCCTCGGATTGCATCCTTCTGCACGATGGGTCCAGGCTCCTTTTCAAGTCACGCCGATGGCTGGCCGCTCCGTCTTTTGTGGATGCCCCTTATCTGCTGTGTGACGCCCTTCCCTGGATCTGTTCTTAATCTCTCAGCCATCATCTTCACGGGAGGAACCCTGTTGTGATCTGATATGAGAGAGGGGAAGAAAGCCCGCCCTCCCCACTTCGGCTCTCTCCCCACTTTCCACTGCAGGACAAACCGCGCCACGCTTCAAAAAGCTTTCCCCTGCAATATGGCCGGGGGGGGGGGGGGGGTGTGGGGGGAATCTTCCCACAGCCTTGCAGTGCAAAACCTTTTCGGCAGAGAGACCGATGCTCACACTCCCTGTGTGTTCAGCATCAGCTCCTCCTCTGAGTGCGACCGTGTGCATCGCGGTCTCCTTCACACCTTTCACAGTTTACATTCGTAGCAAAACTAGTGGTGGCAGTTACCCAACCATCTCGGAAAAAGTGTGTGGGTGGACGTATAACCCATTTCTGGCCAAAGGCACCAAGCACACCTTGCTGGGGACCTGTCCTTCCTCCAACCAGTGACCGGAAAACCCAACGCACTGAGTGAGAACCGAGTGCATCACAAAGATACCGATCTCGGAGCCCAGCAGGCCTGGTCTCTTCTATCTATAGCTCAGAAAGAGAAAGCGAGAGTGAGAGAGTGTGTCAGGTGAGCGACTTTAAGCAACCCTTGGTAAGCAAGTCCCTTGGTAAGATTTTTTTTGTGTGGTGGGCATCCCTGTTGTGTAAGACAGTGGTGTGTCTCACTCTTGCTTGGATCCAGGAGGAGGTGCTGAGCATGGCAGAAAAGGGTTGCCAAGCCAAGGTCCCGCAGCTGTCATCCGAAAGAGGAAGCCCTGGTGCGGGCGACAGTGGGGTCTCTCAAAATCCCTTGAAGTAATTTCAGTTTCTAATTGTTTTCTGTAGAAAAGGTGCTTACCTTGGGTTGTAGAAAACCAAGGCCAGTGCACTCAAAGCAATATGCAAAATGCAGAGCATGCAGTACAATATTAATTAGAACATGGTTAAGAAGTTGAAATTGAAGCAAGCACAAGTCACACGGGCAGGTCAGTCGACAACGCCAGAACCGCAAGTGTGGGCAGGTGTGTTTTATTTTCCATCTCACCTTTCCTTCAAGAAAGATGGTGTCATAGATATTCAGTTTTGTCCATCCAGCAAGGTTGCTTCATGCCAAATAATCAGGATTAGCCCTGGGTAACCCAGTGAGCAGAGCAAGGATTTTGAGCTTTAGCTTCACCCCAACCCAGCCCAGGAATGACTTTCTAGCCATAAAACCGCACTGGCTTTTTGGGGTGGGGGGTTATTAACACTAAGGTTGATTTCCCCCCAGTCCTCATCTAACACTCTAGGCTAGTCTTCCCAAAAATGACACCCTCCAGAATGTCAGACTGCAGCACCTATTATCCCCACTTACCTGGCTGGGGATGATAGGGTGTGTAGTTCTACACGTCTGAAGAGTTCTAGGTCTCACCAACCAAAAGTTCTGCTCTCTTCTTTTCCTGCTCCCACTCATGTGCCGTTATGCGAGGAGTTAACTTAAGGCTGGAAGAACATGTCTTTTGGTGGTGTGTGAGAAGCTGGACCCGTTTCCACGTGGCACGGATTCCACGTGGCTGTCGGCCACACAAGCACGGGCTCCAGCTGAATGGCTCAGAAGGATCCTCTGTGCAGCTTTGTCTGTACCATGGGGTGACTCGACCCATGGTGGCACAAAATGGCGTGGCTCTCTGCCACGCCATCGTCCCGTCCGGAGCCGGCTTGCTTAAATCCCCGCAGAGCCGGCTAAGATCCCTTCAACCTACCAGGCCGGGGGTTTCTCCAGCCACCATGCTTGGTGCTCTCTGCTTTCCAACTCTTCCTTCCTCCGCCAAAGTTCATTCTGGCGCTCGCTGCATGATCCATTGGAACTTAGAGCCCATCAAATGTATGTATGTATTTATTTTCTTTAAAACGTGTATATACTGTCCCATCACTGATGTCTCGGGATGGTTTACGACAATAGCACTAAAGTAAGATAGACAAATAAAAGGAGCACAGCATCCAATAATAAATATAAAAACCAAATATAAATTATATATATATATATATATAAATTATATATATATATAAAAGTAAGACAATTAACAATTAAAATAGTGGAAAAATAAAAAGGTTTTCACTTGATCCCAAAAGGGAAAAAGTGTTGGCGCCAGGCGAACCTTCTCTGGGGAGCATGTTTCATTGTTGGGGTGTCACTGCCTCCAGGTAGTCAGCCTCCTAATCTCCTTCAAGGAGGGCTCCTGGAGCGGGACCTCTGCCTCAGATCTCAAGGGATGGGAGGGCGCATAGGGAAGAAGGTGCTCCTTCAGGTATCCAGGACCCAAGCCGTTTAGGGCTTTATAGGTCATCACCAGCACCTTAAATTGGGTCCAGACCTCAACGGGTAGCCAATGTAAGTGATAAAGGACCAACATTATATGTGAATACAGAAAGCGCCCAGTTAAAGATATTCCAAGTTTTGATTTTTTGCTTTGGTGGGTGTAGACAATAATTTACACAAAGAGCATGTATCAGTCACATTTCCAGAACTTCTCAATGTGTGGTCTTCACAGTGAAAAACCCGTATAACTTGCCATTAAACAGTTCCATAAAATCAAAGGAGAACTAACAATATCCACAATTGAACTAGTATTTGGGATATGCAACACAGCGCACGTTCTGCAAACTCAGGACGTTCTGTAGGTATTAAACTTCTCGCATTCAGGATGGTCCCAGCATTGACCAGCTTTTCGAGCCTTATTTATGAATAGTTCCATCGGATTTTTAGCAACTTCCGTAAGTTTGTTGATATATTTGCATGTGCTGATTTTGCCTTTCCTGTGTTATATATTGTCCCTCACACACGCACCAGTGAGCTTGGTCTCACATACTGTTCAAATGCCTCTCTTATGCACACGGAAGAAAGTAGCATGAGCAATGAGCATCTGGGTGAGGAAGCCCGTGTGTTGTCAGTCCAAGGGAGCTGCGTAACCTTTCCTTCTTTCCTTCCTCGGCAGCTCTTTCCAGCAAAAGAGATGGAAGCAGCAGTGGGGAAACCCAGGAGGTCTACAAATGGGAGGGGGAGGAGGAGAAAGTTGCCCCAAGACAAGCAACAGCGACTGGGGAAACCCACAAAACAAAACCACGAAAAACATTTCTAAAAACATGCAAGAAAAAAGCATCCAAACAGCCATCAGAGGTAAACCCCCCCCCCACACACACACCATACTGCAATCAATAGCAGCAGCCTGAGGACAGCTTGCTTTTGCCACTTCAAAGGCGGCGCGTGGAAAGGTGAGCAGTGACCGAGCCAAGCAGAGCTGCCCTGGGAGTGCTTTCCAGAGTTGCGGCATCACAGCCAAGCAGGCCGTGCCCTGCGAGCTTGCCCACCCATCCTGCGCAGAGGGAGAATACAGAGCGGTGCTCAGCATGTGGTGAGGTGCAGACTGCGGCACGCAGATCTTCCGATATGTAGGCTTTTAAGGGCGAGGCCAGTGATGAAGAAACACCAGGCCTGCCTTTGCAAACAGGTAGTCTGCCGCAGAATCGTACAGAATCAAATAAAAGTAGAGTTGGAAGGGGCCAGAGGGCCATCAGCTCCAATCGCCTGCTCAATGCAGGACTCCAAGTTACAGCATCCCACTCAGAGGGCTGTCCAGTTTCTTTCTGAATATCTCTAGCGTGGGAGAGCCCCCCACCTCCCCAGGTCTTTGGTTCCATTGCCATACTGTACTAACAAACAGAATTTTTTTCCTGATATCTAGCCAGTATCTGGCTTCCTGTAACCTGAGCCCATTATTCTGTGTCCTGCACTCTGGGATGATCGAGAAACATAGAAACAGAGCGAGTCAGATGGGGCTCCCAGGCCATCTAGTCTGACCCCCAGCTCCAGTGGCTCCATTCACGACATGCCCACCATGTTCATGCCCAAGAAGAAATCTTGTCCTTCCTCTTTGTGACAGCCTTTCAAGTGCTTGGAGAGTGCCATCCTGTCTCCCCTCAGTCTTCTCTTCTTGAAGTTAAACACACCCAGTTCTTTCCATCTCTCCTCACAGGGCTTAGATTCCAGTCCCTGGATCATTTTTGTCAGCCTCCTCCAAGCTCTTTCCAGCTTGTCTGCATCTTTCTTAAGCTGCAGTGCCCAGAACTGGATGCAGGACTCCAAGTGAAGCCAAACCAGCGCTGAGTAAAGGGAAAGCAGTACTTCACATGCTTTGAAAGTGATACTTCTGTTAATGCAGCTTAAAATAGCCTTTGTCCTTTTTACAGCCACATCACATTGTTGGCTCATATTTAGCTCGCGATCAACAATCCCAGGATCCTTCACACTTGCAGTTTTGTTGAGCCCAGTA